TAATATAGGGTGGTGTAGTGATATATGGATCTGTGTTTATATAGGGTGGTGTAGTGATAAAGGGATCAATGTTAATATAGGGTGGTGTAATGATATAGGGATCAATGTTAATATAGGGTGGTATAATGATATAGGGATCTGTGTTTATATAGGGTGGTGTAGTGATATAGAGATCAATGTTAATATAGGGTGATGTAATGATATAGGGATCTGTGTTGATATTGGGTGGTGTAGTGATATAGGAATCTGGGTTTATATAGGGTGGTGTAATGATATAGAGATCTAAGTTGATATAGGGTGGTGTAATGATATAGGGATATGTGTTGATATAGGGTGGTGTAGTGTATAGGGATCTATGTTTATATAGGGTGGTGTGATGATATAGAGATCTCTGTTCATATATGGTTTTGAAGTGATATAGGGATCTATGTTTATATAGGGTGATGTAATGATATAGGGATCTATGTTGATATTGGGTGGTGTAGTGATATAGGAATCTGGGTTTATATAGGGTGGTGTAATGATATAGAGATCTAAGTTTATATAGGGTGGTGTAATGATATAGGGATATGTGTTGATATAGGGTGGTGTAGTGATAGAGTGATCTGTGTTTATATAGGGTGGTGGAATGATATAGGGATCTGTCTTTATATAGGGTGGTGTAGTGTATAGGGATCTATGTTTATATAGGGTGGTGTGATGATATAGAGATCTCTGTTTATATAGGGTTTTGAAGTGATATAGGGATCTATGTTGATATAGGGTGATGTAATGATATAGGGATCTATGTTTATATAGGGTGGTGTAGTGATATAGGGATCTGTGTTCATATAGGATGGTGTAGTGATATAGGGATCTGTGTTTATATAGGGTGGTGTAGTGATATAGGGATCTATGTTTATATAGGGTGGTGTAATGAAATAGTGATTTGTGTTGATATATATTTCTGTGTTTATATAGGGTTGTGTAGTGATATCGGGATCTATTTTAATATCGGGTGGTTGAATGATATAGTGATCTGTGTTTATATAGGGTGGTGTAGTGATATAGGGATCTGTGTTTATATAGGGTGGTGTAGTGATATCGGGATCTATGTTTATATAGGGTGGTGTAATTATATAGTGATCTGTGTTGATATAGGGTGATGTAATGATATAGGGATCTATGTTGATATAGGGTGGTGTAGTGATATAGGGATCTGTGTTTATATAGAGTTGTGTAGTGATATAGGAATCTGTGTTTATATAGGGTGGTGTAGTGATATAGTGATCTGTGCTTATATAGGGTGGTGTAATGATATAGGGATCTTTGTTTATATAGGGGGGTGTAATGATATAGGGATCTGTGTTTATATAGGGTGGTGTAATGATTTAGAGATCTATGTTAATATTGGGTGGTGTAACGATATAGGGATCTGTTTATATAGGGTGGTGTATTGATAACGGGATCTGTGTTTATAAAGGGTGGTGTAATGATATAGGGATCTGTATTTATATAGGGTGGTGTAATGTTATAGGGATCCGTGTTTATATAGGGTGGTGTTATGATATAGGGATCTGTGTTTATATAGGGTGGTGTAGTGATATAGGGATCTGTGTTTATATAGGGTGGTGTAATGATATATGGATCTATGTTGATATAAGGTGGTGTAATGGTATAGAGATCTGTGTTGATATAGGGTTGTGTAGTGATATAGGGATCAGTGTTAATATAGGGTTGTGTAATGATAGAGGAATCTTTGTTTATATAGGGTTGTGTAGTGATAGAGGAATCTTTGTTTATATTGGGTTGTGTAAACACCTGTATATTATTTTGTAAACACATGATATAGAACTTCCAATTAATTTTTCAAGTGCTTTATGCATTGGCTCGCCTTAGATCTCAATAGGAGGTAAAGTATGTACATAGCATGTGTTAGCGGAGCATTGTTGAGAGCCAGATCTTTTTTTTAGAAAGTACATCTGACGTCAGGAAGTTATTGTATATTAGCATTTAGAATTGTTCTTATATATAAAGTTATAGACTAATATGTTAACATCTTTTTAAACACCCATTTAATTTACTGAAAGATGTCTTCAGTTTTCTGATGGAAAATTCCCCTAACAATGGTTTGATTTCACCCAAAATGTCATCATAGATATTGGCAAGTGTCGGGCTAAGTCTGAGTGTTAGTTTGATAGATGAATATGTACACAAACTTAACTGGGCTACCCACTGCGGATTTGTTAGTTGTTTTCCAATTCAGTTGAGAGCAGGAGAGCATGTCTGTTGAGCAGCATGTCTTTACCTCTACACCAAATCACAATAATGAACAACAGATCTAGCAATACCAGTAACATTCCATACAACAGGAGGATACATTCCTCAAATTGGCTTGTTAATGTCATTAAAATCCCATAGGTTAATACTAATAGATTTTGGGCAATGGTCATACCCATAAATTATATGTATACTGTCCAATTCACTACATGTACTGCAACTGTAAACAAGTTTTCTTTGTCTGTTTAGAGCATACCCGTGCATGTGCTATCTAATGATTTATTCACTGATGTATACGGACATCCTTTATCGTAGGTTGTCTCAAAGCGGTTCACAAATTATTATCCGTGGTTATAGGGCCTTTGGAACCAGCCGATATCCTTCTCAACTCCCTTTGGAGCATACAGCCGGAGCTGCCATTTCGGCGCTCACAGCTAGAATTCAACAATTCTAGCACTGCCCAACCTCGTACTCATTTACAGCTGAGTAGACTTGAACAAACGGAGCAAAATATCTTGCTCAACGATACAACACAGTGCCATACCGTGACATGAACCCGCAACCCTTCAGTCACGAGCCGGCGTCCTACCACTAGACTACCGTACGCGTGCCTCCAGATATCCATAAAGCTTAGAATAACAAAATGTTCCTAATAGATTGTTAGAACAAAGGACCACTGACTATTTTAAAATAAATTACCTTTGCCCACTTTCAAAGTCGTTCGCAAGAAACAAGAGTGCTTGAAAATGTTAGCCCGTTCTTAAGATCCACGAATCCCAAAATAACTATATTTTGGCCCCGAGTTTGGTATGAAAGGCTAAGAATTCTTGATCACAGTTGTTGAATGTGTGAAAAAGCTCAAACAACATGTCTGAAAATCTTTATGGCTTAGAGGAGTAACATTAAGAATGAAATACAACACATTGTTTAAATATATTAGTTTGAACTACTATGTCACACGAGTAAAATAATAATAAATTAATATCAAGAAGGTGTAGAGCAAAGATATCTAGCCTGCAGTGTTAACCTGTTGGCTATAACGGTTGTTTAAATAAGCTCCCACTTGTAAGGTCACAAATGCAAGACGTGTTTGCGAACAGTATTCAATAACGATTGAGAGATAGAGGTACATTTGGATTCTAGTATTTTCAGTTGTGATTGTACAGAATCCTAGGCTTTTATGTAACCCTCTGTCTGGTCATATATAAGGTCATCCGAACATTTCTTGCGTCAGACCTGTATTGCAGTTACTATATTGTATGTTCATAAAAACAATCCTTGTACATGTATTTGATTAAAACCAACTGACTTTCAGTTTTCTTGAAAGAATTGTTATAATGATTTTTTTTTATACGAATCGTATTACGTACTGGTCACTTTCATTGCAGTATTTTATTTCAATTCACCTAGCACAACGTTCATGGTATACACATTTAATTGTCAACTAAGGTTTTCGATAAATGTCTTTAGGCATTAGTTTTGCTGTGCGGCTTGCTAGAGTGAAAAACTATTAATTTTGTTCATATAAACGACATTGACCGACACTCAAGATCACGAGTCAGATGTGTGAAGATTTTCAAACAGCATCAGTGATTTACTAGGCTATCAAAGGTATAATAATAATAATAATAATAATAATAATTGGAGGTTCTTATATACCGCTTTATCACAACCTAGTTCGTAGGTCGTCTCAAAGCGGTTCACAAATTATTATCCGTGGTTATAGGGCCTTTGCAACCAGCCAGTACATTTCTCAACTCCCTGGGGAGCATACAGCCGGAGCTGCCATTTCGGCGCTAACAGCTAGCATTCAACAATTCTAGCACTGCCCAACCACGTACTCATTTACAGCTGAGTAGACTGGAACAAGTTCACTAGTACTTATGGTTGATACAATGTAAATCCATATATAGAATGTTCTTAAATATAAGGGGAAAAAACAGTAAACGAAAAGGTGTCAATGAAATCCTGTATCACTTCAGAAATTTGGATCTTTTGGCAGCAAAATACTAGTTTTTCTTGCACTAGTTTTTGATGTAATCTGTGCGAGAATACATTCGAATTGTTCCAGCCAATCTTTTAGACTGGTAGTGCACCAGCAGCGTCAAACACCTCGTTACACTATTAGTTTCAAGTTTTATTCAAACTTTAGTAGGCCATTGGCCCATCAGTATACAATACATATTATACACAAATCATGGACAACGTACAGAGAATGAGGACAATCATATTTCATTATAATACCCTTACTTTGTTTGCCTCATAGATGAATTTTCCTAGTAGACACAATTCTTTAATATTATGGACACTCAATAACTGAACGACTTTAAACAGATGTTTTTTTTTCCAATAAAAGCTTTTGATGAAACGAGATCTGAGATTTTGGAATTTAGAACAGACCAATAAAAAATGAAATTCGTCCTCTACTTCAGAGGGGGAGTTACACTGTGTACAATATCTACGTTCTCCAGGTATATTGTTATACCTTCCAACTTCTACAGCCAAAGAATGGGTAGATGTACGGATTCGAGTTAAACAAATGCGATATTTCTTTGATATATATTTTGTGAGGTAAATTTGAAATGATTCTCCAAAATCTATTATAAGTTTATACAATAAACATTTTGGGGAGTTTTCCACTGTGGCCCTTAGGAATTGTACACAGACTATTCAGTAGTTATAGGATGTAATACACAAACTTATACATGGTATTTCTGTATAAATAACGCGGCGATAGAAATACGTCTGACAACCATGCTAGCTTTATTCTCAGCTCAAACTAATTGAAAACAATCTGTCCTAGTCATTCTTACATTCGTTCAAATTCTGCCATAGTTTTGACGATTTGGAGTTCAAAGAATTATTTTGTTGACACCTCTTTCATATCTTGTTTTTTTCTCTGACATATATGGACGCTAAAAATGGTCAATCAGGGGGCATGAAATATGACTTATTAGTCTATTTCTTTTAATATTCAATAATGGATAAAAATGTTCGCGTGATGTTCGTCCACTTGTTGATTCCCGTTTGTTGCTTGTTCAGGCTTTCAACTCATTGATAACCTCACAATATAAAGGAATCATCATTGATAACCTCACAATATAAAGGAATCGATCATTGATAACCTCACAATATAAAGGAATCATCATTGATAACCTCACAATATAAAGGAATCATCATTGATAACCTAACAATATAAAAGAATCATCATTGATAACGAACATAAGTCTTATTACTGAACCATTTCATGGAATATTTGAGATCAAATCAAATCAAGCCGGTCACGATAAGTAGGTCGTGTGTGCCATTTGTTTAGATTTGATGCAGCTTTTATGTTTTAGTTTCATGTACATTAAATGAATCTAAAACGTTTATGCTATTAAAATTTTAAGTTATGAACGACGGTAATGCATGACCTGTTTAAATTATGTTAATTACTTTGCAAGGGGACTGTCGAGGTCATTCAAGATATATTATTGTGATTAATATTGAAAGTAATAATGATAATATTTATTTCAGGTAATAGGTCATAAAACTACGATGATATGCATATAATACATATTACAATGTTAATCTAGTACGAGAACTGACAAGTTGTTAAAGATATATTACTATGAGCAATATTTAAAGTAATAATGATAATACAAATTTCAGGTAATAGATTGTAAAACTACAATGATACGCATATGATACATATTACAATGTTAATATATATACAGTAAGTAATTAAATGAATATCCAGAGAGAAGGCGAATGGGAAAGCCAACCCACAATCTCTCTGTTACCACACATACAATAATATTATATTCCTTATCTTCTATTTACCACTAATCCAATAGAAGACAAATTCAAGTGATATAAGGTTCAATATCTGGTTTTATGCCCCACCTATTATGATGTTGTTTTATTATGCATGTCGTATAATTGCCAATGACTTCAACCACACGACATCTAAACATCGAGGAGGAAACTTGGAACCGGGTATTCCCGCCTAATAATAGCTGTTAATAATGAAATTAAAATTTCATAAATTATCATTAGCTTTAGAAGAGTTAGCAATTTTAAATATGTTGTCCAAGTAAGAAACGTCGCCACTTCTCGGGCTGTTTGGTGAAGCCCTGACGGTTTCAAAGAGATGTAGGGCAAACATACAAGAACAAAAGCACAGCAGAAAAATGAAGACAGAAGAGAATCGGTTGGAGGTCCACGATTCAAGGATGAGACCAATACGGGACAATAACTATAGTTAAAAATAAATCACAACATCCGTCTACCAGACGAAGGGAAGTAACTCGAATGCTTAACCTATAAATGTGCACTAGAATTACATGTTCCTTCTTATAAACACATAAATGTAAGTAATTGTCATCCCAAGTATGAATTATTAAAAGAAACAATTTTAATATTATATTCATAAAACAATTTTAGTAAGGTTGGCTTGATTATCAACTATTAACAGGTAAGGACGTACTTCCATATTCTAAATTCATGCGTGCATGTGTGAATGTGATGGAGGCGATTTAATTTAGAACAAAAAATGGTCTTCACCCTTTGCAAAGTTCATGAACACTTGGAAGTTTATTTCCAATGAACTTAATTCCTGGGACCGAAAGGTCAGGAGACATGAAATTTGCCTTGTAGATTTCAAGTGATGTCATTTGGAGGAATAATTTAAACGTATTAATGAAAAGAAAAAGAACAAGTCTCCTGGAGAACATGACACCATAGCCGAATTCTATCAAATAAATTGGTTCGCTATTAACAGTGAGTTTTGCAAAAAAAACATGAAGAACTAATTGATAACAGAATCGCAACTAAATGAACCACTGGTATCTACCGTGGAAGATGGACAATAAAACCGCTGGTATATTCCATGGAAGATGGACAATAAACCGACTTGTATCTACCGTAGAAGATGGACAATAAAGCCGCTGGTATCTACCGGGGAAGGTGGACAATAAAACCGCTTGTATCTACCGTGGAAGACGGACAATAAAACGACTGGTATCTACCGTGGAAGATGGACAATAAAACGACTGGTATCTACCGTGGAAGATGGACAATAAAACGACTTGTATCTACCGTGGAAGATGGACAATAAAACCACGGGTATCTACCGTGGAAGATGGACAATAAAACCGCTGGTATCTACCGTGGAAGATGAACAATAAAACCGCTGGTATCTACCGTGGGAGATTGACAATAAAACCGCTGGTATCTACCGTGGAAGATTGACAATAAAGCCGCTGGTAGCTACCGTGGAAGATTGACAATAAAACCGCTGGTATCTACCGTGGAAGACGGACACATCAGTTTTTCAAATAATGAGCAATAATATGCTCCAAACATATATAAAACATATAACAACAGACATAAATATAAATATTTATAAACAAACATATATAAAACATTAGGTGTCTATCACGGACACGTCATCGACAAGGATGCATTATGGAAAGAAAAATGAAAAACAGATAAATGGCTGCGTGCAAGTATGGAAATTAGGAAATCGCACCCTATTTGGAAAAACAAAATCATCAAATCATTAATAATATCTAAGGTAGGTTATGAAATAGAAGCTCGTTATATACCAGATAAATCTTTGAAAGAATAAAACAAAAGTTAAAAAATAATTTATGTGGAATAGGAAAATAGATATATTACAGGGAAATATAGTTTGTTCAGAACAATCAAGAGGGGGATGCATACAATGGATATAATACTATTTACATTCAGCAAACAAATAAAACTGATATACAAAAATATGGAAAGAAACACTACTAAATGGAATACAACAGGATAGTAAAAGCAAAATAGTAAAACTCGTTGGACGATACATATCAAATCAGTATTCCAAGAAAACATTTGCTTTTTCAGTTCCTTTACAAAAAGTGACACCCACAAGAAAGATGACATATGGGACTCTTTGCAAAATAAAGTCATCAAGAAATATATATGGGAAGTTAATTGATAGAAGAAACTTCATTTGTGAAAAGGCTAGACTAAATACTGCTATTCCGAAAAAGTAGAAAAGGATGTTGAAAAAAGAAAAAAAAGCAATAAGTGAATCTGTTAAGTATTCAAAAAAAGACTCAACATTAAATATTGTTGATAAATACAATAAACATATCGACTGAAAAAGTAAATTTGAGTACTATTTATAATAATATATGATAATACGGAACCAAAAGTACATACAAAATGGGAAAGTATGTACCCGAAACAATTCAAATGATGTCAAATTTGGCAAAACTATTTCAACATTATCTAAAATAATTGATGAATTTCAATATAAATATATAAAACAGAATATTATACACAAAGAAACGAAAATTATGACGTTTGGAAGCTATAAAGGAACATGTCACTTTTGCAAAACCGATTTTTTTTTATTTATTTTTTATTTGAAAATACTAAAAATATTAGAAATTATGTAGAAACATTAATGAGGAACATCATGTTTTATACAATGTCAAACAACATGTAGTTTATGTTTTACAAGAAATCAAATAAAGCGATTTCACATATTATACAATGTCAATCAATTTGTTGCTTGTCTTATAAAAGAGTTATTCAAACTTTATTATTATGTACATTAGTTAAGAAGTTCTGAATTTTGTCAGCCTCAAAGATAAATTCCCTTAACAACTAAATACAATACAAAATGATTTGTAGTTTATGTCAAGTTTGATTGGTGTAAAATAAATAAACATACTCAAAAGTATTGATGTACTGATTGGGGAAGCTTAATTATACAATGTTTTGTCCAGCAATTTTGTTAGACTGTAATTCTGTAAAATAAAACCCCCGTTTCTTTACTAATTGAAAAAGTACAATTCTACACTGATATGCCAAGCAACACTGTAACAAATTTCTGTAATCATAATTGGTATAATACATTATATATACATAAATGATTACCATTTGATCATCATTTTGTTTATTTTTTCTTCTGAAATACATTATAGATACGGAATAAAAGCCGTGCGAAATGTGGGAATGAAAGAAGGATGCATCTTTGTAGTGAAAGATAAAGTATGATAAAATATTAGGAATAAAATACGTAAAATGAAATGTAGGTATATGATTAGTACGGTGTATACAAGAGCTCTTATCTAAAACACATCATTAATATTGATGCAGAATAAAGATGAGTAGAGTTTTCCATCAATTATAATATAAATATACAACAACAATCATTTTATCAGTGCACAAGGAGCAATCGTAAAAACCGTAAATGTACTCGTGTGGGTTAAACCCTTGTGCTACCTAACATGTTAGATAAAGGTGTGATATTGTTTATATATGTATACATTTGTATGGTCATTTGTTACTTTTGTTATACAATCTTTCATTTGTGAGTCAGATATTTAGCACAAATCATGTATTTGAGTCACGGTATCTCCTACTCCTCTTCCAGTTCATCAACGAAGATCGTTTCCCCACTTCTTGATTCAGACTTCGTTTCCTTTTCTTTTGTTTGATTGATGTGGGCTCAATTTCATCTGTGTCGGTATCTGTATGGTATAAACAAAGAAATGTAAGGATTTCATCATATTTTATTGAGTAAACAATAGGATTGAACAGCAGGCTAGGCCTATATAAGTTCTCTCCTTAGGTTGACATGACAAAGACAAAGATGAATGAAATGGTTTGTAAGAAAATATTGATGCAAATCATATATAATAGGTAGCATAGACATATATATATATATAGCAGATGGTATAGGGGAGATAATTCCATGTATGTTTCAATTACATATAAATATTTAATTGATATTTTTAGCTATACAATGCTCATATTAAAAAGTCAGTCATAATTAATTAGTAATAGGAAAGCAATGCCCTAATGATATATTAAACAGAGAAATTGCTACAATTGTTTTTTTGTTTTTTGTTTTGCAAGTCATTAGTGCCCCCTGTTCATACCCTGCTGCTGTTGCATGAAGTAGTTAGAAGTATAGAACCATTTAGTATCAATATATATATCATTGGTAGGAGTGATAAAAAGTAAGGGATACAACAACATCAAAATATGAAAAAATAAAATGAGGCAATTCAGCTAGAAGATTTTGATAATGTAGTATATGTGTAAGATGTATTGCCAGTGTTCTATGTGTAAATCTTTCATCCCATCGAGTTTCAGACAAAAAGTCTCTAACGGCCTTTACCGTTCACATATCATCCACTCGAGAAGAATCCAGATTAAACCACAGAACACTAAGCATTCAAACTTAGCACATTTATGTTTTACTTTATTGCACCCATCAGTAAAAACAGCTTACAAAGCTTAATCCCTTAGGTGTATAATATTAAAACATCAATGTAAATATAACAATCAGTAGAATCACATAATGGTTTAAGGACAGTAATTTTATCATTTATGACTATATATAACAAAATTTATAGATTGTTTTAATTAGTTAAACAAGTCTTCTTGTGTTGTATATATATTTTAGAACACTATCAAGTATAGATTTATTTTCAGTATTGTTTAACACAGTGCTTCCATTAAGAAGTGTTTTAGTATCAAGATTAACCGGACACACTTCAAAAATCTCATTTATTAAAGTTTGTCTCTCATTAGTATACATTGGACATTGTGAAAGATAATGTGTAGCAGTTTCATAAGCATCACCACACAGACAAGATGGAGACTCTTTCAAGTGATCTTTGAATAGATCATAGTTCAGGTTACTCGCCTCATTTCTCAGTTGACATAGGATTATGTTATCCTTTCTGCTTTCACAATTTTTAAATACATCCGAGATATCATTATTACAACATATTTTATTATACACCTTGGCCTTAAATTTATTAAGAGTAGGGGAATGTACTATATCATTTTCAAGTCCATTGAACTTGTTGCACATTACTGGGAAGAAGCTTTTAGCATAGGATTCTGTACGACATAGTGGTGGGTTAAACATTCTTACATTTCTTAGAGTATACCTATCATTTTCTGGGTTATGAGTAAGAGGATCAATTATGTCATGGAGGTATGTGGGTGATAAATTGTTAGTTATTTTATACATCTGAGTTAGCTTATGGTTCATCCTTCGATCAGACAGGGATTCCCAACCTAGTTCTTTATATAGAGTTTGGTGTGATGTACCTTTCCTTAGACCTGTGATAATCCTTGCAGCTTCTAGTTGTACAGATTCTAATAAATTTTTAAGATTGTCAGAGCAGTTGTCCCAGACAATATCTGCATATTCAAGCACTGGGCGGATAAATGTTGTATATATTTTGCATAGTGATTTCCTATCAATCTTATATTTCAGATACCTAAGTATTGTTATTCTTTTACTAGCCTTTTCATATATTAATTGAACATGGGTAGACCAAGTGCCATCTTCAGAAAAAGTTAATCCAAGATGTTTGTGATCATGGGCATTATCTACACAAGTATTAGAGAAATTAATTAGAGGATGGATAGGTTCTTTTTTTCTAGAAAAAATTAATGATTTGGTTTTAGAGGGGTTAAATTTAATGTCCCATGTACTAGCCCAGTTGTTAATTCTATCTAGGTCTTGGTTAAGATAATCTGCTGCTAGTTGTGGGTTTTCGTCTACGATGACATATAATGATGTATCGTCTGCAAACAGCTTAATGTTACTCTGGACTATATCAGTGATGTCATTAATGTATAATAGAAATAAAAAAGGACCGAGAACTGATCCCTGAGGAACACCGGCATTAACAACCCTAAAAGTAGAAAAATGACCTTCAGATAGAACTCTCTGCTTTCTATCTTCAAGATAATTCTCAAACCAGTTAAAAACATTGCCCGATATACCATATGCTTTTAGTTTATGTAGTAACCCTTTGTGCCAAACTCTATCAAAGGCCTTGCTGATGTCGCAGAATACAAACCTTAGTTCTTTCCCTTTATCCAGGTTGCTAATTATGGTGTGGTATATAGAGAGAAGTTGGTTTACTGTTGAATCACCTGGTTTAAAACCTGATTGGTCCTTGGAAAGTATATTATTAGTTGTTAAATAGTTATATAAATATTTGAATATAATTTTTTCTAGGATTTTACTAAAACATGATGTTACAGATATTGGTCGATAATTGGAATAATTATTTTTTAAACCATTCCCTTTGTATACAGCACTAACATTAGCCATCTTCCATGGCCCAGGTATGCACCCGTTAGATATAGTTTTGTTAAATAAAATTGTAAGTGGGAGTATTAAGGAAGGTTTTAACTTTTTTATGACTTTAGGTAATATGCCATCAGGTCCTGCTGGTTTATTTTCATTTAATATAGTAATTTGATCATCAACATCTTGCTCAGAGATTATTATGTTTTCTAACTTTGATAGAGTGGAAATATCTAATACTGGAGGTTCAGCAAGTGTATCTGATGTTGTGGCTATAGAAGTAAAATAGTCATTAAGGGCTTCAGCTTTATCAGTTGGATGTTGAATCAGTGTATTATTAACATTCAATGGTGGAATCGGTTCAGTTTTATTGTTAAAATTAGTTATGGATTTAGCAATTTTCCACCATTTATTAGGGGGCAAAGATTTAGTACTTAGAGACTTTTGAAGTTTATCAAGATAATAATGTTTTGCATCTCTTACCTGATTAATAACAGCATTCCTTATTTGCTTATATTTATTCCAATGCTCTATTTTGTCAGTATGTCTGGCTTTCTTATGTATCCTATTTCTTTGTCTCATCTTTAGCCTAATATTGGTATTCATCCATGGCTTGTCATCAGGTCGGATTGTAATAGTTTTACTAGGAATATATTTTGTCATCAGGTCAGTAATAGATTTAGTTAAAAACATACTAAATTCTTGGGTATCCATATCAGCAGCAATTAAGTTCCAGTCAATAACATTTAGTTCGTCATTCATAATATTATAGTCAGTATTGTTATACATCCATACAGTCTTTTTGTATGCTTTATGTTTGAAGATAGCATAACAAACTTCCATATATATAGGGGAGTGGTCACTACAGAAAGCAGGGTCAACATGTGTATTTTTCACTATGGAAGGATTATTTGTAAAGACAACATCTATAGAGGTTGCACTATCAGGTGTCACTCTAGTAGGTTTATTAATAATACTTTTTAGGTTGAATTTAGTTAAGAGTCTAGATAAGTGAGAAGTGGGTGGGGTTCTTAGCATATCAACATTTAAGTCACCAGTAATTAGTATATCCATGGAAGTTTCAGTAGCTTTATCAAGGATTTGTTCAAATTTACTCCAGTATTCTATATTAGAATCAGGTCTATATATACATCCAAGCAGAAATGTAAGGATGACAATATAACCTCTTTCTCTCGTACAAGTGTAAGATACAGAGTAGCCTTTTAATAGTCATGTATACAGTTAGACTCATTGTTTAACTGTTCAATATTTGGAGGAGGGAGATGAATGATATGACAGCTGCTTAAAATATAGATCATAGAAATATGCAAGAGACGGGAAATAACAGAATCTAAAACGCTGAGACGTCAAGAAGGACATTTTCTAAAGTTCTAAGATCGACAGTATAATAAATCTACTCTGTTTGAATTCCCATTAACAATAATAACAAATGAGCATAAAAATATATCACATTAAAAAAGTTTTATTGAAATTCTGTTTAAAAAGCTAGAATGAATATCTTTGAGTATCTTTACTCAATTTACTATGAAATTTGCATCAGGGTTTGTTATACTAGATTACGTTATTGCTCGGAAACTGCGACCTAGGAGAGAGATAAAGGATGAACAGATTTCGCTCCAACACGAAGTCAAACCGAGGCTGTTCATCACACATGCTAAATAAATTTCAACAAAATATATTCAAACTTTTAGCGAATCATAATAAAGAATGGAGTGGTTTCTTTAAAAGGAAGCAGTCGAGCAGCGTCAGGATAAAAAGAACAGATTCAGGTATGTCACAATCGGACTCTTCAATTGGCCATGAACGAAAGCAAACACGTAGCAGTGGTGATATCATATTAAAAAGTTACAATAAATAAACGAAAGCCAACACGTAACAGGGGTAATGTCATATTAAAAAGTTACAATAAATGAACGAAAGCCAACACGTAGCAGGGGTAATTATAATGTCATATAAAGAAATTACAATAAATGAACGAAAGCCAACAGGTAGCAGGGGTGATATCATATTAAGAAGTTACAATAAATGAACGAAAGCCAACGCGTAGCAGGGGTGATATCATATCAAAAAGTTACAATAAATAAACGAAAGCCAACACGTAACAGGGTTAATGTCATATTAAAAAGTTACAATAAATGAACGAAAGCAAACACGTAACAGGGGTGATATCATATTAAGAGGTTACAGTAAATGGACGGAAGCCAACGCGTAGCAGTGGTGATATCATATTAAGAAGTTACAATAAATGAACGAAAGCCAACGCGTAGCAGTGGTGATATCATATTAAGAAGTTACAATAAATGAACGAAAGCTAACACGTAGCAGGGGTAATTATAATGTCATATAAAGAAATTACAATAAATAAACGAAAGCCAACAGGTAGCAGGGTGATATCATATTAAGAAGTTAAAATAAATGAACGAAAGCCAACACGTAGCAGGGGTGATATCATATTAAGAAGTTACAATAAATGAACGAAAGCCAACACGTAGCAGGGGTGATATCATATAAGAAGTTACAATAAATGAACGAAAGCCAACACGTAGCAGTGGTGATATCATATTAAGAAGTTACAATAAATGAACGAAAGCCAACGCGTAGCAGGGGTGATATCATATTAAGAAGTTACAATGAATGAAATAAAGACAACACATAATTTGGTCTGGACAATAAATAGTGTTAGTATAAAAGTCACTCATAGGTAACCATTCCCTTGTATTTACCAATTACCCCATGAGTAAGTTAGATTAGTTATAATCTATAAGCTTTACTTTGAGAACGAAGACAGTCAAATATGCTTATTTGTTTTGAAAAGCAGAACATACCTGGCAATAATAGAATGTTGATGTAGTTAAGAATACATGTAGGTCGTAATTTGTAAGGAATCTTACCTTCTCCCTTCAAAATTAAATCGACGTTGGGCTTTTCTAAGAGAAGGCTGGCACTGCTCTTGTAATTATTGACTCTGTTAACTTGTTCTGAGGCAGCAAATGCATAATCGTTATCCATGTTGTATTCCAGTGGCGCTGGCTCGGCCACACATGACGCCTGGACATTTTGCTCTCTGTGCGTGTCCGTGTGAGTTACGCCGGCCAATACTCTAGCACTCGCAATTGGCTTTGTTGAATCATATATAACGCAATCACCAACATCCATTGGGCTTACAGTTCTTCCTTGTATGCTAGTATCACTGTTTCCCAGGTCACCATTCTCACCAACACTGCAGCGTCTATGCGTGTTGTCTTCCTCCTTGATGTTTAGACGCATGCTATCATCCCCATTAGTGTTGTTTCCATTTTTGCAGCTTTCAAAGTATATCATGTCGATATTGTCAATCAAGGCTGAGATACGGGCTTCAATATCGATGTCCCCTTCCTCCTCCTCATTCTCCTCTTCACCGGATTCCTTCAAAACGACTTGGAAAAGATATTTTTGAGTATTGCGAATAAAACGAGCATTTCCAACATACGTGACACCGGTTAAGTCTACAGCTTTCTCTCGTTCACTCATCTTAGACAGATGAGCGCTGTCATAATCGCCATCGCCATCATCATCAGCATGATCATCATCATCATCATCATCATCAGAGGAGGAGTCTGAGTCGCAGTGTGCCTTGTCTGTTGGTTCCCTCCATGTTCTGCTATATTTCTGATTTTGCGTGAAGTGCGACTTTCCTATACTACGTGTTTTGCTGATTTGTTTGTCGAAGGCACCCTTTTCGAATTTCTGGAATAAATGTTATGAACTTGATAAATGGAAAGAGGATGATACAAATGAAACAGTATCCCGTAATTTGAAAGAAATAGTTAGACGAAGCCTATAAATACGGTATTAATGTCTCCCAATTGTTTCAATACATCTCCATATTAATTATATCGACTGTAGTTCCATTTCGATATTACTTCTGTTGTCACCATGGTTACAGTAACATTACATTCTTCTGTAATGATACTTTTGCCTTTGGATATCAATAGATCTTACACGTTTACCAATCCAAACACTTAATCTACCGTACTTCTATAGCATCCTGTTGTCTGTTTGTAAAACAAAACCAAGGGATTTCGTAGATAGTTCAAGACAGCGATTTGTGTTTTAAAATAGGGTAACCGGAGTCTTTATTAGAAATACTCAAGGGTAATTTTGAATCGTTTTTTCTAAATGCCTCCCAAAACACGTTTGTTCCCTTGAAAATACATCAAGGAGAAAAGAATCATATCAAAGAATGACGTTATAAAATTCCACTACCTAAAAAGAATTCGAATAAATATTTGATATTTGTGATATTTCACGACAAACAAATTTTCAGAACTTCGAAAAAAAGAGTAATGTATCTACACGATGGGACAGCTGTGATATTCGAAACAATTATATTTGAATTCAACGAAACAGTAACATTGCAACATATTATACAAGGGAATCCTTGTTTCGTGGACGATTTATTATGAACGATGACTTTGGTGAGGTAAGACGTTTTGAGCACTATCATATTGATATATACAAACCCTGTATTATTTAGGAATATGGTTCTAGGAGTTTAGAGGTCAGTTGCTTGACTTCTCTATCAAATGGGCTATCTAAACGTTAACGTAGATTGTAAATTAGGACTCTGGAGGGGAAATCAGTTTTTAATACTGTGATATTGATTTATACAAACCCTGTATTTGTTCCGAATCAATTTGGATGTTTGGTGCTCCTGTAGGGTGCCGAGGAGTTTGAAGGTGAGTTCCTTGACTTCCGAGTAGTTACCATCTGTTACTGGTAGGCCTCCGTTAATCGTCAAATCTGATATCTTTTCACAAAGCCCCTTACCCAACAACATTGATTCTCTCGCATGATCTGAAAAGGAAAATGGATACACACATGTATATCATATCATTTATTAAGCAGTAAATAAAAAAAAGTATTTCTGAGTTTAAATAGATCGAAAATAAATTGACAATTTCTTAATAAAAGAATTATAGTATGAACAAGAGTCAGACAATGAGACCCTAGGGATGGGGGTCGGGGGAATGAGGATGGGAGTGGGGGTAGGAAAATGTTGGCTCCCACCTTTGATTAGAATGTTTTTAATATTTCTGGTATCTTCTTGTACAAGCATACTAACAGTTACCATGGGGACAATTCAAGAGGATCGTGTTAATCATGTTTCGTCACAATGACTTTAGTAGTTCGTGAGTTCATAAAAGGTACAAGGGGATCACGCAAACCAAGATCAAACAGGATATTTAAGGGGTTCGTTCTAAGCTGATTTTTCCATCTGACTCATATTGGAGCATGCAACAAAGTGGGTTATCTTCTGTACAACGATTAATAAAAATTCATGTTTCCCCAAAAAAATAGCAATTAATGAAAATCACAGTATCTTGCTTCAAAGACTTATCAAACGTTGTTGCTTCGCTGAGTTTGGTTATAGCAGGATTTATCGAGTCAAAGGGACTTGTTACTTTTATTAATTTCCTTAAGCAAAATACAGTGTTTTATGTGTCAGTTTACAGTATCTAAGCATTAATATTCACACAAATAAGTTATTAAATGTATTTACATCATCTATATATAACAAAGTAAAATAGTGTGAGCAATCTAATCTCTAGTCCCTAGCCAGCGGACAAACTTCGGTATCAAAAATATAAAAACATAATTCGATCCATGAATAAAGAGGTACACAACATGTGATCTCAGTATATGACACCAAGTTAACACAAGGGGAAGTCGCATACAAAATTTGTCAATTCTTTAAAGTGACGCACTGAAGGACGGATCGGAAAAACTTATCCACCCAACAAGCTGGGCCAAAATGGGAAAAATTATGAATTAGCATTCGGAGGATGATTATCAAAAGAAATGTAGGCTTTATTACCTTTGTCTCCTTTGTGGTAGAGCCAAACACCTTTCTTGTACAGTAATTGGGCTGTTTTAAACAATACTAAGGTGAGTTGTCTATGTGGAGGTGACAGTATCATTTGTCGTAAGGACATAGAGTGTTTCAGATCGCCCTCAGCCTTATCCCAACACTCCAATGCACAATACACTTCGCCTCTGTTCTGAAGAATTTGTGCATGACACTCCATTTTGTCCAACTTCATCTGTTTGTCAAGCTGAATTGCCACGTCGTACCTTTTGATCGCTTCCTGGTATTTTACTTCAGCTTCTTTTTCTTTCCCTCTCTTGCGAAGAGACTCACCATCTTTGAACAAACATGTTCCAATATTTTGCAAATATTCTGGTGTTTCAATGTTAAAACATCTTCTGTTCGTATAAACTATAATTATTTGCAATGCCCGTTCATGAAACTCCCTGGCCAATTTGTAGTCTGGCTTCTTCTTTCTGTATTCTGATCCGCCCATAACATTGTATATCTTAGACAGAAGAATCTTATGGTCTGTCCCCACTTCCCTTATTCCCTTCTCAGCAAGTTCCAGGTAATGTAAAGCTTTTTCACAGTCGTACTCCTTACGGAAATACCTACCCATCTGGAAGAACAAGCTGCCTTGCACTGCTGCCATTGCCATATCGTCCATCTCTCTCAACGTTGGGCTGAGCAACTTGTCTAAAGAGTCAATTTTCTTTTTGGCTTCTTGATTTCTATCCAGGTCTAACAACAAAGCAATCTCGCATACACGCCAAAAGAAATGACGTAACTGATTTTCCTCGCTGGCTTTGGTCTTTGTGATAGCATTTTGTATCAAACTCCATTTGGTATCATCATACAGAAGGATATCTGCAATTTCATAAATTCTCCTGCTCTCCACTATCGTTGTCATGCTGTCAGCTGGTTTGGTGATTACTAGTTCCTGCAAATCATCTGTCGCCATAAATTCATAAAAATTCTTGACATGCTTCATGTTATTTTCCAGCACCATATTCCCTTTTCTACAGTCTTTGTCCATTTTCTTTGCGACCTCGCATATCTCTTTTCTGAAGTATTCAACAAACCTTTCTTTTGCAATCTGAAAATCTTTTTTAAATTGTTTTGACTTTACTTTGCCTTTCAACAGGTGAAAGACCAGTGGATGAAGTGAGTATCTTACCGTATCCTCATGTTCTGAAATCTCGATAAAACTTCTCAATTTCAGGATATCTAATTTTTCCTTTGGCGTTGGTTCATTTTTGCATTCAAATCTTGTAGCTGTGGTCCTAAGGACATCCGCAGCAGCAAAAATGTCAAATGGCGCTGAATGAAAAACAGACAGTCGTATAAGATTTTTTTTTGCGCATTGATTCAGAGATTCGAATGATTTTTCCAGACACCCGGCAACATTTGGTGTTCTTAATATACGCCGAAGCCAGAAGTTTTGTCCCAAATCCTGTATAATTGATTCAGGCGTTAACCCATCGTGGCACATGGATTTACATAAAATGGTAATGGCAATAGGACTGTACCCACAGAGCTCCACAATTCTTTCCCTCTGTATGGTGTCAATCTGATTCTACAACAAATAAGATAAGCAGATGCACTAGATGTATAAAAGAATATGCTGATTTTTCATTTTGACATTAATTACCACGGGTGAGTCTTAAATTGACTTTATAATCATTTGGTGCATTTAAATATTGATTATGTTTGGCAATCTGCATCGGCAAACTAAACTGTAATTAGGCTTTTCCTGACATCATGTTTCTATTAATAGTTTTACGGGACAAGGATGTTAACTTACTGGTGGACTACGAGTCCCCTAGGTAGGCTGTAACCTTGATACAGATGTGTATTCTGACACAGTTAACATGAAATACTAGCTTTGAAATAGTACCTGTTGTAGCCAAAAGATGCTAATTTGTTTCGTTACAAAGGGTCTAAAGGCATCTTTCCATTTTCGCTGTATTCTATACATTTGCTGATTCTACATACTTTATTTAGCTTCCTGTATCGACAAATAGATACTTCCTTAATTGGTTTACTGGTAATTGATCAACTACGACCGACTTTGTACAATTTCCTACCTCACCAATGCTTTTCTCGAAGAGTTTCAAAGCTTCACTGGCCTCAAAAGGGAGTATCTCTTTTTCAACGATCAAGCCATAAACTCTGTCATGCCCTTTAAACAATCTCAATAGTGTTCTTACGGCGCCAGACAACCGGGGATGATCGAACAATGAAAGGCGGGATGTCAGCAATAGGCGCATCTGAAATTATATAGGGTACATTTGAAGGAAGTTAGGCTACTTAGCTAGGTGACATAGGACTAGTAGTTAAGCTACTTAGCCAGGTGACATAGGACTAGTAGTTAGGCTACTTAGCTAGGTGACATAGGACAAGTAGTTAGGCTACTTAGCTAGGTGACATAGGACTAGTAGGCTACTTAGCTAGGTGACATATGACTAGTAGTTAGGCTACTTAGCTAAGTGACATAGGACTAGTAGTTAGGCTACTTAGCCAGGTGACATAGGACTAGCAGCTAGTCTACTTAGCTAGGTGACATAGGACAAGTAGTTAGGCTACTTATATGGGTGACATAGGACTAGTAGTTAGGCTACTTAGCTAGGTGACATAGGACTAGTAGTTAGGCTACTTAGCTAGGTGACATAGGACTAGTAGTTAGGCTACTTAGCTAGGTGACATAGGACTAGTAGTTAGGCTACTTAGCTAGGTGACATAGGACTAGTAGTTAGGCTACTTAGCTAGGTGACATAGGACTAGTAGTTAGGCTACTTAGCTAGGTGACATAGGACTAGTAGTTAGGCTACTTAGCTAGGTGACATAGGACTAGTAGTTAGGCTACTTAGCTAGGTGACATAGGACTAGTAGTTAGGCTACTTAGCTAGGTGACATAGGACTAGTAGTTAGGCTACTTAGCTAGGTGACATAGGACTAGTAGTTAGGCTACTTAGCTAGGTGACATAGGACTAGTAGTTAGGCTACTTAGCTAGGTGACATAGGACTAGTAGTTAGGCTACTTAGCTAGGTGACATAGGACTAGTAGTTAGGCTACTTAGCTAGGTGACATAGGACTAGTAGTTAGGCTACTTAGCCAGGTGACATAGGACTAGCAGTTAGGCTACTTAGCTAGGTGACATAGGACTAGTAGTTAGGCTACTTAGCTAGGTGACATAGGACTAGTAGTTAGGCTACTTAGCTAGGTGACATAGGACTAGTAGTTAGCTACTTAGCTAGGTGACATAGGACTAGTAGTTAGCTACTGATAGGCAGCTCCCGCGAATTCCTCAAAATTGTATTGATTAATGTATATGCAAATGTATTGTTTGTATTAATTGTATATCTATGTACTGTAAAGCGCTTTAGGGTGGCTTATTCAAGCTAGATAGGGCTCTATATCAAACGTATATTTATTTTATTATTATGTTTACTTTCTAAACGTGTGTGCTATATTATTCCTGTTTTAAAACCATCGAGTGACAACAGAACCATACTCGTAAACTTAAAGAAAGGCTGAGAAATTTTAAATTTATATACCTGTATCATATATTTATGTATGTACCGAAGTACGATGTAGTTTTGACTCTTTTTTACTGTTCTAACTAATACATTTCTTAATCTTTTGGATCAACATTCATTCACCGCCAAATCAAATTTAAAATAGTTTACATATTTACTGAAAGCATAATATGAAGATTCCAGATTAATTACTCGTTAGGACAATGAGGTTCTAACAAGTGAACCAATGTCATATTCTAATGATGTCAGTAGGTCATCTTTCTGAGATAAGATATATTGCATAACATCATACTTTGCACTTATCGCCGAATTCTCCGATAAAATTGATGAATTTGTCGAAGAAGTCTTTTAAAAATCTATTTGTTCCCTCTCCATCCATTACATCCTCAATGTTATCCAGCATAAGTATGGTTTCTATAAACATAAATATGGTTTCTATAAACATAAGTATGGTTTCTATAAACATAAGTATGGTTTCTGTAAACATAAGTATGGTTTCTATTAACATAATTATGGTTTCTATAAACATAAGTATGGTTTCTATAAACTTAGGTATGGTTTCTATAAACGAAAGTATGGTTTCTATAAACTTAGGTATGGTTTCTATAAACTTAGGTATGGTTTCTATAAACGAAAGTATGGTTTCTATAAACAAAAGTATGGTTTCTATAAACTTAGGTATGGTTTATATAAACGAAAGTATGGTTTCTATAAACGAAAGTATGGTTTCTATAAACAAAAGTATGGTTTCTATAAACTTTAGTATGGTTTCTATAATCATAAGTATGGTTTCTATAAACAAAAGTATGGTTTCTATAAATACAAATATGGTTTCTATAAACATAAGTATGGTTTCTATAATCATAAGGATGGTTTCTATAAACATCAGTATGGTTTCTATAAACATAAGTATGTTTTCTATAAACAAAATAAGAGAACAAAGACTGATGACGTTACTTTACATTAAAGAAATAATACAGATGCAGGAATATAAAAAAGTTAGTTTCTGTGACTTTAAACAGAATGTTCACACGTCCCATGTACAACAAAAGCTGGTGGTAGGGAGATGGCGGGGGTGGGGTGGGGGCGCGTTTAGTAGATTGCTTAACGTTTTTAAATTAACATATATCATATAGGCATATTTATATTCTTCATACCTTTCAAAGCTTAATCAAACATTTCTCTCATCAGCCGATTTTTTTAATATTTAAGTTTGTTTCTCATTTCAAACTTACTGCATTCTATAGCATTGTCTTTTCTCAGAAACTCCTTGATTCGCTCTAGAATGTCTTCCTCTTCTCCCCGTATCAATGTCTGACAGGTGAGCTGTTTAAATATGTACATGAGCATGTCCCTCAATTTCAATACTTCCCTGTCAAGATGAAAGAGGTCAAATTTTAATACAAGTTCATACATATATAAACTATATGAGTATGTGTAATTCTATACTGAATGGTGCATTCATTTGCAAGGTATTGCATTCAGATGTAGATTATGGGCGAAGAGGTTCATTTCTAGATAAGACATATAAACTCTCATGTGGTCTGTTAAGACCATAATTCCTTTCTCAGACAGATCTTGTGCAGTGACCTTCCTTAGGACAAGGCAACTATAGTTCTCTAATTCAGATATATTAAAAAACAAAAAGTACCAACCAGAGAATGACTCATAAAAAGCTGAAAAAAGGAGAATACCAACTTGTAAAAACTACATCCGTAATCCAAACTCAATCGATAAAACTAGGGCGAAATAAGAGCATAGGGAAAATTTAAATGGAGACCTTGAAAAAGTACAAGGAGAACGAGACCAGGTGTTCTGGAGAGGTCAGCATCTTCCGCTTCATCAACGACATCCATATTGTTAATCAAAATGGAGTGACAATGAACAACAGAATCCCTAATAAGCATAATCATAAACATTGACTTTCATATCACACGAGGAAATAAAATATCTGCCAATGAGATCATGATTACGACCAAAAATCTTGCCCATATTCTTTATACATCTAACAAACCCCTGTGTTGTAAATTTGTTTGTCAGCAGTTATTTTTCTCTTATTCTGTCCTTGTTTCATCGACTCTGAGTTTGATTTTTTTTTATTACATTCCCCAACATTTTGATGGTATTCCTACTTCTCCGTTTTTCTTTACTTGTCTTTTTGTCTTCCATCTGGAAAATCATTCTTTCACAGTGAACACCGGAAAGTTATTCCTCTCTGAATCGGAAACTTCAAAACAATGACCTCCAGAAGCCGTGGTGAAACCAAACCTTCTCAGACTGTGTACAACATACTTCTGAAGGCCATTAGATTTGATCAACATATGCCCCTCAACTATCCGATTCAGCAGGCCATTGCTTTGTATGGCTTTAACACATCCTGTTGAACATGACAAAGACATGTGTCTTGTTTTTCTGACACATCCTTCCTGCAGAACATGACAAAGACAGGGGTCTTGTCGTTCTGACATATCTTACGGAACTAATCGTCTTTTCCCCAAAGTGTCAGCAAACAATGGCTCTCCAGCTCAAGGTCGGTGCCAGAACTATTGAGACTGTTCCAGCTGTAAAAAACCTAGGGGTATACTTTGATTGTTCGCTGAACATGGAGAAACAAGTGAACACTGTTGCCAAATCTTGTTACTACCAGATCAGGATAACAGCAGTATCTGGCAGTTTATAACTGCAGATTCATGCAAGATTTTGGTGCATTCACTTGTTACCTCTCGGTTGGATTATGGGAACACCCTGCTCTATGGTATACCTGACAAACTATCTAGTCGTCTGCAGAGGGTTCAGAACACTGCAGCATGTCTGGTTAAGAGAGAGAGCACATCACACCTGTGCTATAGTCATTTCACTGGTTACCACCATGACACCTCTACAAAAATTTGGTGTACACATACAAGGCACTGAGTGGAACAGCTCGGCAGTATTTACAGGAGCTTGTCATCCTGTATCAGCTGTCACGATCACTGCAGTCAGAGATAGAATCATTGTTGGGTGTCCCAAAATCACATTCTGTGACCTATGGCAACCGGTGCATTGGGATAGTTTCGGCCTTTTAGTGGAAAAGCTTACATCTGCTATCAGGAAGCCATTGATTTGGCTAAATTCAAGAAGGTTGTAAGACCCACCTGTTCACGTCGTTAGTTTAGGCTCTTTGTACATAAGTCAAGCATGCACCCCCCTTTATATAATTGTCTAATGGTGAGTTGAATGCCTTTTGTATCTAATATCTATAACGGTTACTGTCGAAATAATTTTATTCATGTGTTGTAAAGTGTTTTAGAGTAATTTTACAAATTATGAAGGGTGTTATATAAATGTTGTATATTACTACTTTTGACTCCTGTTGAGGTTTACAATCATCTGTTTGAGTTAAGACGTTTCGTATATATCTTTTCAGCAAGACAGTTCTTGGTTAATGTGCTTCAGCAAGAAAGGTTATTCACTCTTATTTACCTACTGCTTTGGGTTTAGATGTTTATTTAATTATTAGTTTGAGTTGGGATTGTTAATTACTCAAAATGACTCGTATTGGAGTAAGAAAAGGGAATGCTGGCACATACCGACTCATCTATTTGAGTAAGAATTATCATTGTCTCTTATTCTATTAGTTAAGAGGAGTAATGGTGTACCTGTTTGAGTTAAACAGGGTATTGACTCATCCATATGAGTAATGAGGGTAATTGACTCTAAAAGACTAATCTGTTGAAGTCAGGGGAGTATGATACCTCTGCTTAAAGTAGGAGGGGTATATAACTCATCTGTTTGAGTTTTCTGCATCGACTGTTTTTCACCATTTAATAAGGAAATTTGTAAGTAATAATAGCTTAAAGCAATATCTCTTTTTTGTCCATTAACCATACCATACCTTGCGGAATTAAATGAAAAATAATGAAGATGAAATAAATAAAATATAATCAACAGCAGCTTTAAGAATGTCAACAAAATCAGTGGGGCTAGAACGGGATTCAAACCCTGGACTTCAGATTGATGTACATGTACCATGGCTCTGACTGAATAAGCTACCCAGTCAACAGAAAGATTCAAACCCTGGACTTCAGATTGATGTACTTGTACCATGGCTCTAACTGAATAAGCTACCCGGTCAACAGAAAGATTCAAACCTGGATTTCAGATTGATGTACCTGTACCATGGCTCTAACTGAATAAGCTACCCGGTCAACAGAAAGATTCAAACCCTGGACTTCAGATTGATGTACCTGTACCATGGCTCTAACTGAATAAGCTACCTGGTCAACAGAAAGATTCAAACCCTGGACTTCAGATTGATGTAC